CAACAAGGGTTATTACATACACAAATAACCCGAATACAAAGAGAAGCTTACGACGACGTTTCGGTCCGACTTGGACCAAAGTCTCACAGTGGAACTTTGTAAATGGTCCAAGTCGGACCGAACGTCGTCGTAGCTTCTCGCTTTATGCGTGGGGTGTATTTGGGTATCATTCCAGTCACTGGGTACTGTGCCTTTTTTTTATTATTTAAGGGATATACCAACAAGTGTTGGGATGAAATACAACTGAGGGTCAAGAAGCTGCTAAGTTGAACTCTTGATGCCCTCAAAAGGCTGTGGGACTGGACATCTCTGTAGAGGGAGCAGGGATGCTGTGTGCGGCTGTGAACACTAACAGCAATTTTGTACATCCATTGAAAGTTAAAACACACATGCAGTATAATACGAGTATTACAAAATTTTGCCACACCAGTGGGCTTTTTCAAGTCTGTTGACAAAGCATATTTGTGTGGGGTTAAATAAAACTTTGTCAAAGGATCGCATTATATGCTCTTGTTTATTTTTCATTGTCGGTATTATTTTATACATTTATTTTATTATCCATGAAACTGGGCAACCGCCTGAGGTATGGAAGACAGCAAATGTAGTCCCCATTTTTAACTAAAGAGACACTAGGCTCTAAACTACAGACCAGTGTCACTGATGTATATAGTATGCAGTCATGGAGAAGTTAATCAGGAGTGGTGTAGAACTAGCATCTAACAAGCTCAAATGAATATCGGCCAGCACAGAGAAGGCAAAATCTGTTCAAAACTACAGGAGTTTTATGACAAAGTAACGGAAGACACGAGAGAGAGGGGCGAGAAGATTGCATTTTCTTTGACTAAGAATGCCTTTGACAGTTCCTCACAAAACATTTGTGAAAAGCTAGAGGATCAGGTATGTATAACAGGAAGGGCACTGCAATGGATCAGAAAATAACTGACGAAGGCAACAATGAGTCATGGTATATAACTAGGTTCCACAGTGGGTGCCTCTGACAAGTGGAGTTCCACAGGGGTCAGTCCTAGGACAAGTGCTATTTTGTTATGTGAATGACATAACAGAAGGGATAGACTCAAAAGTGTCCCTGTTTGCAGATGTGAAGTTATTGAGGAGACAAATTGGACGAGGATCAGGCAGGACTACAAAGACCTGGACAAGTTGCAAGCTTGGTCCAGCAACTGGCTCCTCGAATTTAACCCCACCAAATGCAGTCATGAAGATTGGGGAAGGGCAAAGAAGACCACAGACAGTATAGGGTAGGTGGCCAAAGACTGCAAACCTCAAAGAGAAAGATCTCGGGGCGAGTATAATACCGAGCAAGTCTCCGAAAGCACACATCAATCGGTACACAAATAACCCACACATAAAAGAGAGAAGCTTACGACGACGTTTCGGTCCGACTTGGACCTGGAGTTTACCTAGACATGTGCAACTCTTGGGTATCTTTATTGAGGAAATGTTTCACCACACAGTGGCTTCATCAGTCCATACGTAGGAGAAATTTGAAGAACAGGAGGAGAATGAGGTAATCAGTCCCTCAACCTTGAGTCGATGTGTTCAGTCCATCAATCTTGAATCATGCTACACGTCCAATACACATCAACTGGCGAGTAATATTCTTTCACAAGTGCGCTGATATTATTTATACCATTTCTACACTAATTTAGTAGTCTGCATAACTAAATCTATTTTTTGCGAGAATAAAAATTCAAAGTGGAAAGCAAAAGAATGTAAGAGGGGCCTGGGAACGTGAATAATGAACAGAGGAAATGTTTTTTAGTGCCAGGAATGTGTTTATTCTGGACCTTATTTGGAAACTGGCATCTTCTGAAATTTGTGTGAAATTGGCAACATTTCTAAATTCTGACCACTTTATTGGATAGTTGAAATCAGTAAATGGGTGATTTCTTGTACTCATTCGATAGAAAAAAATGGAATTCTAGCGAAATAGTTATGATTTTTGTTGACTAGTACACTGGAATTGGCCGAAAATAGGGTTCAAAGTGGGCAAAAAATTGCAGATGCATAAATATCAAGACTGCTAACTTCGCGAGAGCATAATTCCCTATGTTTTCTATCAAATTTTATACTTTTGGTGTCATTATGATCAGGAAAAGAATATCTTTTCATTTTTTTTTTTTTTTTTTTTTTTTGATAATTTGGTGACTGAGAACAAGTCTCTGAGAGGGCCTGGCAGCCCTGAAAGGGTTAATACCTAGTCCTATTGCCAACTTAATACTGTGGTACCTTAAGTTAATTCGTTCCAGAAGGCTGTTAGAGTTGATACCGAATGAATTTGTTCCCATAATGAATGTAAATTAGATTAGTCCATTTCAGACTCCCAAAAACACAAAAGCACTTACAAATACATTTATATAATTGTTTGAGTTGAGTTTTTCGAAACTCGAGGTACCATTGTACATGTTAATGTAAACTTGTCGTCTAGCATTTATATGCATTTTTAAGTGGGGGGAAAAAAAAAAAAAGGGGGGGCGTTCCACTTTACAGCAGTAGCCTGGAACCTAACCTGCCATACAAGTGAGGCCCTACTGTATTGCTGTCAACTAGCACGTGGTCTCCTTTGAAAGTTCCGTTCACACTTACACTCGCTCACTCATTTGACCATAAACAGAATTATTAATCTCAGTCTTAAAATAATGAATCCTGTGATACTCCAATACTGAAACTATATACTGTGCCAAAACAAAAGCATTCACATTGCTAAACTCAAACTAGTATTTAGTCACTTAGCCATAAGACCAACTTACCTCATAATTTGTAATATTTTACAATTAAGAATAAAACTAAGTATGCCCGAAATGCCTAGCCATGCTAGGTGTTCTAGTGGTACACTCTGTAATGCCTAGCCATGCTAAGCGTTCTAGTGGACACACTGTAATGCCTAGCCATGCTAAGTGTTCTAGTGGTACACTAATACCTAGCCATGCTAAGCGTTCTAGTGGTACACTCTGTAATCACAATTTTACTACATGTAAACCAAACAATAACCAAATTTCTGTAAACTCAGCATTGTAATCCTTATAGAGAATAAACTTTGAATTTGAATTGAATACACTAACTGGAGTGAGTGAGCTGACAAAGCGACATCTTTGTACAGGCGGTAACTTTGCTCACTGAAGACACGACACTAGTCAGTTACCCAATGCCGTCAAAGCGTTATCAAGGAAAATAGTGAATTGCACAGAAGAAAAAAAATTTAGATTAAATTGGTGCAACTGCTGAAAATTACAGCAACTGATGCTATGCTCAAAGGACAAGTAAAAGATTTATGTCAAAATGCAATACACAAAATTGAGCAGAAGTTGGTAAGAACAATATATTAATATTAATCAAAACAGTGCTAATGGGTTAAAACTGGAGGAAAAGTAATGTCTAGGCACAAACTGACAACTGCAGGGTAAAAAAAAAAAAAATGACTTAAGACTTATACCACTTCAGGAACAATTAATAAAGGGAAGATACGTATGCATGTAAAACTGATTATGTACGAGTGAGGTGAAAGTGTTGAATGATTCAAGTATTTTCTTATTGGGGATTTTTTTTTTTTGGGGGGGGGGTCACCCTGCCTCGGTGGGAGACTGCCGATTTGTTAAAAAAAAAAAAAGAAAAAAAAGTGCGAGTGGTCTACAGTTTTCTACAAATAAAGCATTATACTATTTGTTTTAATTAAATGTACAACTCGCTGAACAGTTTTGAATAAATGCAAAAAATTATATGCAAGTATTTTGCAGAATAATGGTCTGATATACAGGTGCAATAACAAAATGGTGGGGGCAAACAGTAATGTGAAACACTTGCTCGAGCACTGTAAATATATCGCATAGTGCAATAAACTGTGCACAAAAGTTACAGCTGACTGAATAAATTTAAAAAAATGCAGTGAATGGTTCAGCAAGGTACTGTAACAAGTGCCAGAACAATTAACCCTTTCAGGGTCGACAGGCCCTCTCCCAGACTTTCTCAGGGTCGACAAATATAAAAAAATTTGTTTTTTTTTTCTCGTGAAAAGAATCTTTTCCCGATCATAACACAAAAAGTGTGAAATTTGATGGAAAACTTACGGAATTATGCTCTCGCGAAGTTAGCAGTCTTGACGATGTTTACACATCAGCGATTTTGCCCACTGAGCCCTATTCTCTGCCAATTCCAGTGTACTAGTAGACAAAAAAAAATTTCGCTAGAACTCCATTTTTTTTCCATCGAATGAGTACAAGAAACAACCCATTTACCAATTTCAACTATCCAATAAAGTGGTAAGAATTTAGTAATGTTGCCAATTTTTCACAAATTTCAAAAGATGCCAATTTCCAAATAGGGTCCAGAATAAACAAGACATTCCTGGCACTAAAATAACATTTCCTCTGTTCATTAGTCATGTCCCCAGGCCTCTTACATTCTTTTGCTTTCCACTTTTAATTTTTATTCACAAAAAATTAAAGATTTACCGTTATGCAGACTACTGCATTAGTGTAGAAATGGTATAAATAATATCAGCGCACTTGTGAAAGAATATTACTCGCCAGTTGACACGTATTGGACGCGTAGCATCATTTGTTTACTTTTGAACTTAGGCAAAAATCGAGGATTTCTGCTACTTTGAGCTCAATTTCAAGGAACTTTCATTGAAAAACCAATCAAAATTCTCAATTTCTGTAATATGTCTTCCATTCTATAAAATGAGACCAGGAAAATAATACTGTACCATCATAAATACCATACGAAAACAGTGCAAATACCCAGTTTTTTTTTTCTCTTTACACTGTGCTGCAGGACTTTTATACTGCACACACTGACCACAGACCCATTCTTTCATATGTAGGCCTATCAGCTTTCACTAGATTTAAGGGCACTAGACTTTAGGCATACTAGTACGTCAAAAACCCTGGTGCGTAAGCGGTACTAGTACGTCGGAAACCCTGAAAGGGTTAAATGTCACAAATACTGTACTAGGAAATGCTAGACAAGTCACTGCTTACTTATCTTTGCTTGTGGAGAGATCTATGCAACAATTACACAGATAGGCAGACACTGAATGCAGAACAGGTCATGCTTGGACATTAGATGTACACAAGAAATCTTGATAAGGGTACTACACACGTTGATTGGCTCTTGGGACTGCTGCCACAAATTTCATGGGGTTATGGATAGGACACTGGGTGAGAACTAGGGAAACACCAGGAATAATGCAGGGCATCTGGAAAGAAGAGGTGTGAGTGGATACAGCCAGGTTATAAGTAAGTTTATTCAGGTATACACATACAGTTGCATAGATTATCATACATAGCAGCATGTGTGTAGAGAACCTAGAATAACCCAAAAAAGTCAGACCGACTCATTTCCATTGATGATTATAATCAAAAAGTGCTAAACCTACTAGGGTTATACACCACTGCAGGGCAGGAATTTATGCAGAATCAAAGGATAAGCAAGGTTAGAGAGGACAACAAAGGTAAAGTTAGGAAGGGCAAAATTTGGACATTGGCATCACAATGGCACTAACGCCCACTGGTCACACGTGCACCCCCAGAACCAGCCCTGCATCACCTCTGCACTCATTACAGCACTGTGCCTTTCTACATTGTCATTTATTATAATCAAGGGGGAAGCACTAAACCCGTAGAATTATATAGCACCTGGGGGGAATGTGGAAAGCATTCAGGCTTAAGTCAGGAACTGGAGCACAGATCCAATTCCCTAAATCAAGAGCCCCTCACCAACATCAAGGAACCTTCCTCGAGGGGTGCCCTTCTACAGCATCTACGCCTGTTTTGAGCTACAGAAGCCGAAGCAAGGTCTTGGTGTGGTTGGCTCCAGAGTACATCCAGCTTGGGATGTGGCAGTGTCATCGGCCTACCCTAGGCTACACCAGCCGTCTCACGTTCCTGCCACATTTTATGCTCTGCGTTCAGCCTGCATCTAGCACATTTTGGCCTAGCTGTATTCTTGCCAATGTGGCCAAAATAGACGGCTGAATTCAGAGGAAACTAGAGTGCTCTGGGGAAGATCCAGACAGACTGGTGGAGTGGTCGGAAAAGTGGCAATGCAGTTTAAACAGACAAATGCAAAGTTCTGAGTGCTGGAAAGGTAAATAACCATGATACCTATAAACTAAATACTGTACTGTAACTTAATATCTACAACTACTAAAAAGATTTGAGAGTTCTGGTTAGCCATAATTTAAAGCATACAACAGTGCCGTCATGAAGGGTTCTTAAGTAGTGATGGCAAATAACTCAATGATGTGGTTGTACAGAATATATAAGAGGGAAACCCAGCTTGCAGTCTGATGTCCCGATTGCCCGAGGGTACATGTCCAACTGAATATGTCCTCGCAGTGAGAGTCATAGCAGTTCAGACTGCTGACCTAACAGTATTTTAAGTTTGTGGCAACATGGCTAGGGTATCTGCAGCATGCCTACAGCTCAGCGACGCTTATGGCATCCCAGACATACAAGTAATTACAAAAAGATTTGTCAAGCTCTGGGCTGATTCTATACAATACAGCCTCTCCTCACTTAGTGACGTACTTGTTTACTAACGCCTCGGACTTGGGACGGGCTCTGACCAGTGTTCATACCTAAATGTATATTAGAGCTGATTTCCTCTATTCAATTTCAATATACAATACACTACTGTATACACATTTAAAAATATACCAGATGAGTTTTAAGTGGTGCAATGGTGACATTAAAACAATATCAAAGATAGTCAACACAAACCCACTACCATTATAGTACTGTACGTATATGTACTCCTCACTAAAGGACAAATTCGCTTAACGACTTGGTCTTAGGAACAGAACTCCATTAAGTTGGGAGAGGCTATTTTAATGTTGTATACAATACCATAGTGTATACTTTAATATATTTAAAAAAAATTAGCACTAAACATACTTTAATATAATTAAGACACCTGACAGCATGCTGCAGCAGATACTAATTACGCCTAGGTCCTCACCCCCACCCACCTGATGGCATGTTGTAATACTGTCGTTGACGCAAGGTCCTCTCTTCCCCTACACACCTGACGGCATGTTGTAGATACTGTCGTTGGGGCAAGGCCTCCATACACCTGATGGCATGTTGTAATAAATACTGTCATTGAAGGCAAGGTCCCCCAACACACCTGACGGCATGTTGTAATACTGTCGTTGAGCAAGGTTCCCCCCACACAGCTGACTGCATGTACCGTTGAGGCAAGGGCCCCCCCCCCCCAACACCTGACCATGTTGTACCGTTGAGGCAACGGGGCCCCCCCCCCACCCCCCCAACACCTGACGGCATGTACCTTTGTTGAGGCAAGGTTCCCCCCCAACACACCTGACGGCATCTTGTACCGTCGAGGCAAGGTCCATCCCCCCACACTCACACCTGACTGCATGTTGTACCGTTGTTGAGGCAAGGTCCCCCCCCACACACACCTGACTGCATGTTGTACCGTTGAGGCAAGGTCCCCCCCACAACACACCTGACGGCATGTAATACTGTCGTTGAGGCAAGGTCCCCCCCACACAGCTGACTGCACGTACCGGTGAGGCAAGGCCCCCCCCCCAACACCTAACGGCATCTTGTACCGTTGAAGCAAGGTCCCCCCCCCCACCCCACACCAGACGGGCATGTTGTACCGTTTTTGGGGCCCAAGGTCCCCCCCCACAACACCTGATGGCATGTTGTACCGTTGTTAGGTAAGACACATGCAACAGTTAGGAAATTATTTCGAAACGTTTTGCCTACACAGTAGGCTTCCTCATCGAGTACAGAAAAGTTGATAGAAGCAGAAGAGACTTGAAGACGATGTAAACAGTCCATCACCCTTAAAGTTTTGAGGTGGTCAGTCCTCAGTCTGGAGAAGAGCATTGTTCCATAGTCTGAAACAATATGGAGTTGAAGTGACAGGATGGAGTCTTACATGCACCCGGAACAATGCTCTTCTCCAGACTGAGGGGACTGACCCCCTCAAAACTTTAAGGTGATGGACTGATTACATCGTCTTCAAGTTCTTCTGCTTCTATCAACTTTTCTGTACTCGACTGAGGAAGCCTACTGTGTAGGCGAAAAAGTTTCAAAATAAAGATACCTAACTGTTGCATATGTGTTACCTAACAACCCGTCGGTATTTTATACCGACCCCCGAAACTCTCTCCAGGTAAACTCCAGGTACCATTTTAATGTTCATGTTGTACCGTTGTTGAGGCAAGGTCCCCCCCCCCACAACACCTGACGGCGTGTTGTACCGTTGAGGCAAGGTCCCCCCAACACACCTGACGGCATGTTGTACCGTTGTTGAGGGCATAGGGGTCCCCCCCCACAACAACACCTGACGGCATGTTGTACCGCTGTTGAGGCAAGATCCCCCCAACACCTGATGGCATGTTGTACCGTTGTTGAGGCAAAGTCCTCCCCCAACACACCTGACGGCATGTATCGTTGTTGAGGCAAGGTCCTCCCCACAACACCTGAATGGCATGTTGTACCGTTGTTGAGGCAAAGTCCTCCCCCAACACACCTGACGGCATGTTGTACGTTGTTGAGGCAAGGTCGTCCCCCCAACACGTGATGGCACATTGTACCGTTGAGGCAAGGTGGTCGTCCCCCAACACACCTGACGGCATGTTGTACCGTTGTTGAGGCAAGGTCACCCCCCCCCCCAACACACCTGACGGCATGTTGTACCGTTGTTGAGGCAAGGTCCCCCCCCCCAACACCTGACGGCAAGTTGTACCGTGTTAGTTTAATGTTTATGCACCCCATACCCATCCTGTGGGCGGTAGTCAAAAGATTACAGAGGTACATAATGGGTCCAGGGACTGGGCCCAAAGTTTTGATGGCTGAACTAGGTACAAGGTAATTGAATCCTGTAAGAATGGTTACTTACGTTTATACATGGCTACAATCATGAACAAATTATAGAGTAATGAGCAATTCACACTTCCACACCCGGTCACAACTGTAGCGAGTTATTGGTGCCAATATTGTTGTCTCACTCACTCTCACTCTCACACACACAACACACACCACACTCACACACACACACACATCACACCACATACACAACACACACACACACACACACACACACAGTAATGCATTATTTACAGCTAGCAAAGTCAGTATTTCTCCAGAATGGTCTGTAATATACCACGGTGGATAAAATACTTAGCCATTTGTTGAACAATTCTGAGTGAGTTGTTTCTAAATTCATTAATTTGATCACACTCCAGTACATAATGACGCAGGGTGTGACAATAGTCCATCTGGCAAAGTTTACATTTCGTTTGGTCTACATCTGGTGATGGTGATTTAACCTGCCAAAGATACTTGTAACCCAGCCGGAGCCGGGCAGTAGTGACATCCAAGAGTCTGCTTATCTTGTTGGACGCACCATAGACATGTGGCTCCTCCTGCATGATAGAATGATAGATGGACTCACTGGTGTCAATCTCCCTGAGCCTTAAGTCCATAAAATTCAGTTGAAGTTCTTTTCGTATTATTGTTCTCAAACTACTACCTGACAAGCCAAGATTGTAATCTACTCCCTCTTTGAAAGCATAACAGCTTAGCCAATTTATCAGTTCTATCATGCATCTGAAGACCAATGTGAAATGGAATGCACAGCATGTGCACTCTGACTCCACTGTCCACAATATTACCATACCTGTGTCCGGCTTCTGACACAAGCATGCCACAATTTATGCTTAATCAGTTGAGAGCATTCATGGATGACAGAATCAGTTACAATTAAACTGTCAATCTTTGATACACAGATGCATTTCAGTGAAGGGTAGAGGCCCAATTATTGATGCGTGCTCCAATTTCTTTAAGCCATCACTCTGTACCGTTGCTGGCAAGGTCCCCCCCACAACTGACGGCATGTTGTAATGTTGTTGAGGCAAGGTCCCCCCCAACACACCTGACGGCATGTTGTACCGTTGTTGAGGCAAGGCCCCCCCCCCACAAACCCTGACGCAGTTGTACCGTTGTTGAGGAAAAGGCCCCCCCCCCCCCCAAACACGCCTGATGCATGTTGTCCCTTTTTGGGGCAAGGTCCCCCAACACCTGAGCATTTTGACCGGTTAGGCAAGGCCCCCCCCCAACACCCTGAGCATTTGTCCCGTTTTGAGGCAAGGTCCCCCCCCCAACCCCTGACGCATGTTGTACCTTTTGAGGCAAGGTCCCCCCCCACCCCCTGAGGCATTTACCGTTTTTGGGGCAAAGGTCCCCCCAACCCAGGGCAGTTGTCCTTTGGGCAAGGCCCCCCCCCCTAAAACCACCTACGGCATGTTGAATTTGTTGAGGCAAGGTCCCCCCCCCAACACCTGAGGCATTTGTACCGTTGGGGGGGCAAGGCCCCCCCCCAAAACACACCTAGGCATGTTGAAACCGTTGAGGCAAGGCCCCCCCCCAACCACCGACGCATTTGTACCGTTGGGCAAGGTCCCCCCTCAACACCCTGACGGCATATTTTACCTTTGAGGCAAGGCCCCCCCCCCCAAACACCGACCAGTTGTACGTTGGGCAAGGTCCCCCCCCCAAACCCCTAGGAATGTTGTACCGTTTTTTGAGGAAGGCCCCCCCCCCCAACCCACCCCTGACGGCAATAGCCCCGTTGAGGAAAGGCCCCCCCCTCAACACCTACGGCATTTGACCTTTGGGGAAAGGCCCCCCCCAAAACCCACGGCATGTTGTACCTTTGGGAAAGGTCCCCCCCTCAACACACCGAGGGGCATTTTTACCGTTTTGAGGCAAGGTCCCCCCCCCAACACATGAGGGCCCATTTGACCGTTGGGGAAAGGGCCCCCCCCTAAACCCACCTGGGAAATTTGTACCGTTGGGGCAAGGCCCCCCCCAAACCCCCTGACGGCTTTTTGTCCCGTTTTTGGGCAAGGGCCCCCCCCCTCAACACACCTGAGGCATGTACCTTGGGGCAAGGCCCCCCCCCCCTCAACACACCTGGGGGCATTTTCCGTTGAGGCAAGGCCCCCCCCCCCCTCAACACCTACGGCATGTTGTACCTTGTGGGGCAAGGTCCCCCCCCTCAAACACCACAGAAATTTTTGTCCCGTTGTTGAGGCAAGGTCCCCCCCCTCAACACCCTGACGGCATTTGTACCGTTTTTGAGGAAAGGGTCCCCCCCCCAACACACCTGACGATGTTTTTCCGTTGTTGAGGCAAGGCCCCCCCCAAACACCTGATGCAGTTGTACCGTTGAGGCAAAGGTCCCCCCCCCTCAACACCGACGGCAGTTGTACCTTTGAACAAGGTCCCCCCCCCCCTCCTCAACTTTTAACTAATTTTTCTTCTCGGCTGAAAATTTTTCTCGGCCACCTCATTTTCTTAATATTTCAGGTTTTTCTTAGCCGCAATCAAAAATTTACTTGTCTCAAGGTTGGGGTGATTTATTTCGTCGAGAATTTTGCTTGCACATTTCTCTGCCTATTTTACAATACACCTAAAAAAAAAATGTCCACCCCCGGTTTAGCTCTTTAGGGATCGCAAAAAGTTAATATTCAAAAGTGACTTGAATTGTGTAATCCTAGTTTACCGGGAGATTTCCGGGGGTAAATCCCCCCGGGGCCCCGGTCTTGACCAGGCCCCCTGGTGGACAAGAGCCGATAAAACCGGGGTGAATAAAAAATAAACTGACCTTCTTAAAAACGTAATTTGCGAGATTTAAGTTTAACTATAAAAAAAAGTATTTTAACTTCCCGGGGCATAAAAATGTGGGGAAAAATAACTTTTTATTGCCTTTGTCCCAAACGGATATTAAATTTTCTGATCTGATCTAGTTCCAAACAAGTCACCATTTCATACCTTGGTTAAATATTTCATAATTCCCTTTCCCCCCAAAGTGAAGCCGATAATAAAAAAGTGTGGCCCGGGCCCATCCTTTTAAAACAAGACTGGAAACCCCGGAATTTGAGCCAGTGCCAGATAGCCAGAGTACAAAAACAAATTTCAAATTTCTCAATTGGTAAACATGAGGAAATAAATCTTCATCAGGTACAAAACAAATTCGGCCACAAAAAAAAGCGAAACACCAACGCAAAGACCTGGGGGTGATTAGCGGGGATCTCACCTTCAAGGACCATAACATTTTATCAACGCATCTGCAAAAAATAAGGATGGATAATGGAACCTTTAAAAAGGAGGGCCACCCTGTGACATCTTAGGGCACTTTTTCTATCTAGGCTGGAAAATTGCGGGACACTAACAGCACCTTTTAAGGCAGGTGAAATTGCTGACCTAAAAATGTACGAGAACTTTCACGGCCGCATAACGAGATAAAACACCTCAATACTGGGAGCGTTTGAGGTTCCTAAACCGTATTCCCGGAAAAAAGGGGGGAGAGATCATGATTATTACACTGAAAACCCAGAGGGACTGTACCAAACTTGCACAAAAAAACATCACTACGAAAGAAAAATTTGGGCAGACGATGCAACACCCCCCCCAATGAAAAGGGGGGTGTCACTAGCACGTAAGAGACCATACAAAAAGTGTCGGGGGGGCCCGAGACTTTTTTAAAATCCCTCCCCACACAAAAGGGGGGGATTACCAACAGACCCCGGGCAGTCTTCAAGCTGGCACTGGCAAGCCCTAAAGTCTTTTTCCGATCGCCGGGGGGCTGGGGCTCGTACGTTGGTTTGCGTGCACCCAGCGCAACACCCGGGTTGTCGGCTCTGACCACCGGGGGCCGGGTCACAGACCGGGCCGCGGGGGCGTTGACCCCCGGAACTCCTCCCCGGTAAACACACTTCAAGGTAGAAGACCATAACGAAGATATACTGGTTATGTAGAGCTACCTGACAAATTATTTTAATTTTTTCCCAGGATGCGACCACACCAGTCCACTAACCCCCAGGATGTGACCCCACCAGCCCCACCCTTAAAAACAAACCCAGGATGGGACCCAACCCGTCCACTAAACCCAGGATGTGACCCACACCTCCACTAAACCCAGGTACCTGAATACGCAAAAAGACACCAGGTATCTTTGGAAACCCCTAATTTTTTTCCCCGATTTTGGGGTCGACCCCCGGACCCCAGTGGACCCAGTGCGTTAGTAACCTACTAACACTTAGACGCGTCCGGCGAACCACCTTCCCCCCCATGCTCCTAATTACCCCTATTCAGTCTGAAATACGTGTAATTATCGGGCCCCCAAATATAACATGGCGTAATGCTGCGTCAGTTTTATTTGGGTTTTAATAATCTTAAATATACAAATTTCGCACCAAATTTTCCCCTCGATCCATAAGTAACATTCCACGAATTAAACTACAGAATAAAACACTAAGCCCACAAGTCACATCACTGGAGTTCACCTGGAGAGTGTTCCGGGGGTCAACGCCCCCGCGGCCCGGTCTGTGACCAGGCCTCCTGGTGGATCAGAGCCTGATCAACCAGGCTGTTGCTGCTGGCTGCACGCAAACCAACGTACGAGCCACAGCCCGGCTGATCAGGAACTGACTTTAGGTGCTTGTCCAGTGCCAGCTTGAAGACTGCCAGGGGTCTGTTGGTAATCCCCCTTATGTGTGCTGGGAGGCAGTTGAACAGTCTCGGGCCCCTGACACTTATTGTATGGTCTCTTAACGGCTAGTGACTCCCCTGCTTTTCATTGGGGGGATGTTGCATCGTCCTGCCAAGTCTTGCTTTCGTAGTAGAGTGATTTTCGTGTGCAATTTCGGTACTAGTCCCTCTAGGATTTTCCAGGTGTATATAATCATGTATCTCTCCCTCCTGTGTTCCAGGGAATACAGGTTTAGGAACCTCAAGCGCTCCCAGTAATTGAGGTGTTTTATCTCCGTTATGCGCGCCGTGAAAGTTCTCTGTACATTTTCTAGGTCAGCAATTTCACCTGCCTTGAAAGGTGCTGTTAATGTGCAGCAATATTCCAGCCTAGATAGAACAAGTGACCTGAAGAGTGTCAATCATGGGCTTGGCCTCCCTAGTTTTGAAGGTTCTCATTATCCATCCTGTCATTTTTCTAGCAGATGCGATTGATACAATCGCATCTTAGTACACACCTCTCAAGGCAGGCTCCACGCTTGTGTAGGGCTCTTGATCCGGGGAAATGGATCTGTGCTCCATTTCCCGGAATACCTCCCCCCCCCCCCGACTTCCCCCAACGTGCGCTGTATAATCCCTACGGGTTTAGCGCTCATTAAAAAGTAAAATCCGTCAATAATTGGAGTCAACATCGTAATAAAATCCTAATTGACCAAAATCAGATGTTACATAATGATGGTTCATTTAATAAAATTTTTTTTTGACCATGCCAACGTTCAGAAATTTGAATATTTAATTAATTTCTTGATAGCCAGCTTATTATAATAAAAAAAGCGCTAAACCACAAGGGCTATACAGCGCAGCCAGCTTTTTTATTAAAAAAATATTAAGAAATTCGTGTCATATTCCCGAGTTTATTTCCTTCAATATTTAACTACACTCAGGTCATTAACTCGTCACAAACACAAAAAAAATGACAATTCCTTTAAGAAAGACTCCAGGAAATTCTCACCTTACATATACGCATTATAAATCATTATCTGCAGCTATGGCCGACCACAAGGACACTGGGAACAATTATCTACGAGACAGAGAGAGAGCACATCCTCACCCTGCGACACTCCAGCTGGTACTGCTGGTACAGAATAAAATCTGCCCCAAAACCCCCCTTTT